ATTGTCACGGCTCATCAAGATCACGCGTGCTTTCGTGACACGCCAACTCACTTCCTTTTTTCCTTTTTTTCTCCTCTTTCCCTTCTCTTATTCATTCTTGTTCGTGTGGCAAAAAAAAAAGGTAAAAAGAAGAAAAAAATGAAAACAAAATATACAAGAGAAGGGAAAATGAAAATGAAGAAAAAAGTTAAAAGATTAACGGAACCATCGTTTTGCTTATTGGGGGAATAAGCGAAAAGGCATATTTGCAAGTGAATAATAATTTGTGAATAAAATTTTTATATACGTGTTCCTAGCGATCTAAAAATAAAGGCTGAAAATAAACTTCAATGAAAAAACCCTAAAATTAACTTCAAATTTAAGATTAAAAATTTAAATTTTAGCTGATAAGTACTCCCTCCGGGTTGATAATACTTGTCGTTTTGGACAAGGGCACGTCTAAAAAAACAACTTTGACCATTATTTTCTATTATAATATGTATAAAAGTGTTAATAAATATATGATCTTTTAAAGTACTTTTTAAGATTAATCTATACATGCAGTCAATATATTTGAAAGATAAATATTTTAAAAATGACTGATAATCAAAGATTCTAAAATTTGATCTCATTCTGGTATAAAATGACAAGTATTATCAGGCTATCAATCCGAAGAGAGTATAAGTATAAGTGAAAAGATGAGACCTTATATACGAATAAGCTTAAAGATTTATCATGCAATTACTCGAAAATCTATATCAGGGGAGACGGGTACGTGTGGTGGGCACGCGATGCCGATGCGTCGCCGGCCGCCGTGTGGGGTTCCGTGGCGTCCGGCACCGCACCCGTGAGCGTCTGCCTTTCCTTTCCTCCTGCTCCTCCTCGTCGATCGTTGGCCTCGGTCCCCTCCTATCCCGGCCCGGTGCATTGCATTGCACCTAGCTGCTACACTGAGTTATATACTTTCTATGTCCTAAAATATAATAACTAGGATTAGATATGATAATTTCTACTACTATAAATCTAGACAGACTGTCTATTTAGATTCATAGTACTGGAAAATATTCTATCCGTCATACACAGATTTGTAGTATTAAAAAATATCTTATCTGATTTTTAAATTCTTATATTTTAGTATGGATAGAGTATCTTTGATCTGATCCAAACTTCAAAGTGTGCCTGGCTCACTGCCTGCAGAGTGATCCTCCTGTCTGTCCTATCCAGAAAGAAACTTTTGCTCTAGGGGTACTATTTTTTTTAGCAGATTTTTGAGTCAAGTCATCGGTCCTAGTACACAGCAGCAAAAGAAATCGTAATGCTTCTTTTATCCCAAAATAAATAAGCTTTATCATAAAATAAAGCTATTTTTTCATCTCACCCTGGTATCAATCATTCTTTATTTATTAGCTTTTCTAATATACTCTCTTTTTTCAATCAATTCACAACATTTCCGATCATTTCTAAATACATTTTAAATTTAAATAAAATCTTTAAAAATATTTATATTTTAGAACGGAGAAAACACACCCTCCGTCCTAAAAAGCTAACCTAGGTGGAATGTGACACCACCTAGGATAACATATATGTCCAAATTTATTAATCTAGGTGGTATTACATCTTCACTTAGGGCCCCTCTGGTTTGGAGAAAAATCATATGAATTTTGGAGGATTTCAATTATATAGGAAAATTTTCATATAAAGCCCTTTGAAACAAATGATTGAATCATATCATATCCTTTGAAATTCTTATGGAATGAACAATCCTATAGAGATTTTGGAGGAGAGATTCTGGAAAAAAATTAGCAAGAGCTCCAACTTCTTGGAAACTTTTCTTTGAGTCTATCTCTCTCATCCGATTCGTACGTTTTTCCTACGGTTCAATCAGACGGTCATTCGTATATTTTTTCTATTTTACACTTACATTCCTATTAAATTTCTACGTTTTTCCTATTCTTTTTTTTTTCATTCTTACGGTTCAAGAGTCCTTAGATTGGTTTTTCTTACTACGGAGGGAGTAGGTTACTATGTCTGGATAGATGCCGATCCAGTCATCCACCGATCTATCGGTGACTCACTTTGAAAAGGCGAGGAGGCAAGCGACGGGTAACCACTAACCAGCTGACGTTTAGGGCCTGTTTGGCACAGCTCCAGCTCCAGCTCTACCCCTCCTGGAGCTGGAGCTCAGCCAAACAGTTTCAGCTCCACCAAAACTGGGAGTGGAGCTGGGTGGAGCTCTCTCACAAAATGAATTAGAGTTGTGGAGCTGGGTTTAGGCAGCTCCACAACTCCACTCCAGACCCAACTCTTGGAGCTAAATTTAGGAGTTAGAGCTATACCAAACAGGCCCTTAGTCGCTGTTGCTCCCGCCGGCCCACCAGCTGCATCGTGCCTATAATTGGTTCACCAGACAACTCGAGATTCTTTCAGAAATTTGACAAGCAGCAGTGAAATTTCATTGATTTCTTGTTTGAAACGGGACTAAGTATTAATTACTTTTCGGATAACATCACCGGGAAATCGTTTCACTGCCATTGTAAATATATACTGTTCCATCTTAACCCTTCACTCATTTTCGTATTCTAAGTCCACCTCTTCTAACTACTACTCTATCTTAAAAAAAAGAAAGACAAATCCCAGCTACGATCTTCGACACAACTAGGTTGGATTTTTTAGACGGAGGAGGTATTCTTTGAACACGTCTTAAATTTATCATCCTATACATAGTATAATACTCCTGTATTCAAGGGTACAATGTTCTTCTAGCGCTCAAGAGATCAACCTTACATTAAGACTACGATGTTCTTCTAGCGCTCAGGAGATCAACTTGCGACAAAAACACTAGTAACAATTCAATTATTGGGATATTAAATATGTGAAGGAATATACCAAATATATGAATGGGATGTAAGTTGAGCTATCAAAAGGACAATACCTTATTAAATCAAGTTGATCAATTATTTGTACTAGCACAGTAGCAGCAACTAATGGTCCAGCAGACCAGCACCAAGTGGTGGTGTGTGATGGCCCGCGAATTGTTTCTTGGCAGAAATGTCATGTCCAAATGGTCACAAATTGATCGACGAGTTGATGGCACGCCTCACCAATCTCCACTCTGGAGTGAAGCAAAAAGATCACAAAAAGGTTGGCTGTCCCATGGAAAAAGTGCAGATGCGTCACACAAGCTGCTGCAACTAACACAAAACACACGCATTACTAAACTCCAGGTTGTATGTACTGTTTGGTTATTCTGCAGGCAAAAATCAATACCTTTCGCAGCTGCATAGTGTGTATGTATATATGCACCAATCGAATTGGTTTTCAGTGCTTGTTACTCTCAAAGTTGTCGAACCTGAAATATGCCATTTCAACAGACATGTTTCATGGTTTGGCTGCTACCATATTGCGGAATAACCTTTATTCTGATTTCTGAATGAGAATTACAGTGATGTAGTAATCAATTATGAACTCAATTTAATTACCGGTCAAAAGCTGAGACAGTATCCAGGTCTAGGCCTGTCTTAGGTGTTGACTGTGATGAGAGAGTTGAGGCAAGACAATTTAACACATTGACATTATGGTTTCAGTCATTGAACTTTGGCACTCACCTAATTCAGGAGGAATTTGAAGGTAGCTATGCCCAAAAAAGTTTGATGTTTGGCACATACTTGCCCTTTTTGACATGTTGAGGAAAATTGCTGACTTTGTAAAGATGCACACAACAAATTTAATTTGTGAGCATATGGACTATTCCTTATCAGAAAGTTTGCTTTGCTAATCTAGCATATACTCCCAAGTATATGAAAAATTTGGTAAGATAAATTTCATATTTTTACAAGCTTTACTCCCTAAGATTTCTCATCAATAACTAAATGGAAAGCTTTCCCATTTAATCATCTGAAATTCTTACCTAATTAGGAGCTAAAACTCAAGCAAGTAAAGAAGTGTCGTCAGGACAATCTCATTTTGTCATCTCTCATTTAGAGCAGGTACAATAGCATACTATAAGCCAGTTATAAATATTTTTTTAAGAAGATAAAAGAGGAGAGATAATAGCAGCAGGCTACAGATTTATAGCCCATTGCAGCACGGATTCCAAGACGCAGGTGGGACCAGATATTGATTGTGTAGCATATGTTTATAGATAACTATTGTATAAATTAGCTATTAAGTTGATTATAGATGATTTGAAGCCAGCAGTTGGCTATACTATTAAACTTGCTCTTAGACGACAAAAAGCCTAAAATGACTGGTGGAATCTTCTTTTGAGACCATATATACACCCAAGGGACAAAAATAGTAAGACAATCTAGAGAACATTTTAATACGATTGTTGCCGTGACTTTGTAACCCCAAGTTTAGTGTTTTAGTTGCCTTTATCAATGATATTGCGTGCGTTGAACACATGCCAGTAATAACAGCCGTCTCTCCTTTTCAGATTAAAAAAAAGAAGTGTACACCCTTCTTTCTCCATGGTCGTCAAAGGCTTTTCAAAACTCTTTTTTTTTTTCTAAACAAATATGCTCCCTTCGTTCTTAAAATAATTGGCACTATTAACTACTGCTATATCATTTTTAACTTTTACTGTAGATGACTAGATTATAATAAATAAAAGATTTATGATTATATTCGTAATGCTACATAATTTGATATGATATGTTTTTATATTTTATTTGTCAAAAGATAGGTTATTAAAGTTTTAAAACTGAATATATCGTGAAGTGAGCGTAACACAACTGGTTAGTTTCTTGTGGTGGATCCAGCCCATATTGATAAACGACGTCCTCACTGATAACGAGATATCCATGACGATGTGTGTGGCTAACCCATGAACTCACTTATAGAACAAAATAAGTAACCGTTTATTTTAGCCTATAGGTAAGTTTGCGGGTTAGCAACTTACCACTAATCTGAGCCGTCAATCTCGCATCAGAAGGTCTCCACCTGTCCCACGTGGACCAATCACACTCAGCCAGCTGGCCACCTCCCCTAACCACCATCATATTTAAGCCCCAAATGGCCAAATCCTCCTCACTCTCTGTAAAAACAAGCAAACAAAGAAAGAAAAGCATCACAAATCTCACGCACTGTCTCTCGTTCGCGCAAAGCACGCTGCTTTTCTCCGCTTTGCGAGCACCATAGCCTAGCCCACCATGTGCGGCGGCGCCATCCTCTCCGACCTCATCCCGCCGCCGCGGCGGGTCACCGCCGGCGACCTCTGGCTGGAGAAGACCAAGAAGCAGCAGCAGCAGAAGAAGAAGAACAAGGGCGCGAGGAGGCTGCCACTGCGCCAAGAGGAGGAGGATGATTTCGAGGCCGACTTCGAGGAGTTCGAGGTGGATTCCGGCGAGTGGGAGGTGGAGTCCGACGCCGACGAGGCCAAGCCGCTCGCCGCGCCCCGGAGCGGCTTCGCTAAAGGTAAAACAAGAACGCGAGATTTGGGAGATAAAAGCGAGCTGTTTCTTGATTTTGGTTGGCCCAGATTTTTTTTTTTGCTTGCGGTCAGTGGGGAGATTAGTAGGTGAGGAGAAGGATGCCTTTTTTTTTTCTATTGTTCTGTAGGAAATTTAATGTCTGCAAATCTGAAAATTCCACCTAATTATTGTTGCAGTTAGTGCTTGCTTATCATGCTAGGTTGCTGCTGCCGGGTTAGCTTTATTACCTTATTGATTAATCTTAAGGAATATTATTATATCTCAGTTTTAGAAATCAGGGCCTATGTTATGATGAATCATCATGTCCTGTGATGGCTCCTACGATTCATGGATGGAGCTTCCATACAACACAATTTGGAGAAGAAGTTTCTGAGAGTTTGCCCAAATTGGATCAGATCTATGTTTTTTCGTGTTAATTACTGTACTCAAGTAATCCCGTATGAAGAATCTTGGATCCGACACTGGGCGTATAGAATCTTGACATTTCTGAACAAAGTTAGGACTCAAGCAGATCCATGTTCTGAAGAAATATCTGTTTTTTTTTCTATACCATGTGATTGGACTGAACATGTACAGTATTTTCTTCACTGTTTTTAATATATTCTCTTCTGTTTTCTTTTCTTAATGCTTATTGGCCAGCAGTTCTTATGTTAAAGTGTTCGATTCTCAATGCTTCTTTGTGTATGCTACTGATTCAAAAGGTTGAAGGATAATAAGTTTTTACCATATTAAAATTTATACACCGATCTTGTTCCTTGCTTCAGGTGGATTGAAAAACACTACTGTTGCTGGTGCTGATGGGCCTGCAGCAAGGTCTGCTAAAAGGAAGAGAAAGAACCAATTCAGGGGTATCCGCCAGCGGCCATGGGGCAAATGGGCTGCGGAAATCAGAGATCCTCGCAAAGGTGTCCGCGTCTGGCTTGGCACCTTCAACTCTCCTGAGGAAGCTGCCAGAGCTTATGATGCTGAAGCACGAAGGATTCGAGGCAAGAAGGCCAAGGTCAATTTCCCAGATGGGGCTCCAGTGGCTTCTCAGAGGAGTCATGCTGAGCCCTCCTCCATGAACATGCCTGCTTTCAGCATCGAAGAGAAGCCGGCCGTCATGTCAGCAGGCAACAAAACCATGTACAACACAAATGCTTATGCCTACCCTGCTGTTGAGTACACCTTACAGGAGCCATTTGTGCAGATTCAGAATGTCTCATTTGTTCCTGCAATGAACGCGATTGAGGATACTTTCGTGAACCTGTCCTCTGATCAAGGGAGCAACTCCTTTGGTTGCTCGGACTTTAGCCAGGAGAATGATATCAAGACCCCTGACATAACTTCCATGCTTGCACCGACCATGACAGGTGTTGATGACTCCGCATTCCTCCAGAACAATGCCAGTGATGCAATGGTACCTCCTGTGATGGGGAATGCTAGCATTGATCTTGCTGACCTGGAGCCGTACATGAAATTTCTGATCGATGGTGGTTCGGATGAGTCGATTGACACCCTTCTGAGCTCTGATGGATCTCAGGATGTGGCCAGTAGCATGGACCTTTGGAGCTTCGATGACATGCCCGTGTCGGCCGAGTTCTACTGAGGGGTTTGGGGTGTAGCAACTGGTGCCTGTATATATAAGGACAAATGGTAAGCATCAGCAATGTGAAAACGGCTAACTCTTTGTGACATTTCGATCTCCATTTCTCTGATCTTTCTCCGCCTCTCGTTTCAGGAATAAACATTCTGGACATCCAAGAAGCGGCATGTGTCTGTCGGGCGCTTCTAGTTGCGCTATATAGCTATGTTAGTATGTTAGTATGTGCTGTGTCTAGCTTAGATGCTGAAGTCTCAAGTACTATTTGGCAGTGAAACTATCTATCTGTAACTGCTATATGAGGCTGGAACAAGTTACTTAGCTTCTACCTTATCTGTACTTGCTATAGTGGCTGTGAACCTTGTGGATCTGAACTCTGAAGCCAATGTTTACTATATAATGTGGTTGGTTTTATAAACTCTAGTTGATTTGGACCCCTGTCAATGGTCATGCTATGGCTGGGGATAAGAACCATTGATGATCATATTTGACTAGAAACGCTGCTTCCAAAATATCCCATAAAGTAAAGCTGAACTTGTACTAATGTTCTTGCACAAGTTGCAATAATGTTGCCTTATGGAAAAACAGTTTCCGGACCAAGTGGTATCTGTACGAATTGCTATTGTAGGCTAACAACTTGTGCTCAAGTGGAAGATGGTGAGTATGAATCATCTTTCCTTCAGTTGCACTTAAACTCCGGACCTACATATACATTGACTGATAGGCCCCAGCCAAAATCTTGTCTTCTACATAGGAATTCTCGGGTAGTTTCTTATTACTTGGTAATGGTTGTTGCCTAGGAAAAATTTTGGTTGCCACTCAGTTTTGATTGTTCTTAGGTTGGAGAAAATTTGGCCGTTCTTTGAATTTGTTGTAGATAGTAGAGCATCATGTTCGATTGAGAATTTTGACCGATTACACTTCATGAATTGTACAAAATTTTTTTTATCGGGCTCCTTTCTATGATTTTTTTTTACGCAAGAGTTAGAATCCATGTTGGAATGAGTTTATTTGAGCCTCCAATTCTCCAAACTATGGTTATCAAATCTTGATAATAAAAACATCTGTGCTGTGTATCCAACCATTGTGCACTAATGCACTATGATATTTATGTATGTTTGGTTTGCTGCTAGTCTAGGATCCTTGCTGCAATATGCTAAAACTCTAGTGGAGTATTTTACGTTGGTTGTTGCTGGTAATAGGCACCATCAATATTGACCATATGGGTATCATTACCCTCCCAAAATATCTCAAAAGTTAAGCAGTACATAACAAATTGCAAAGGACTATCTTAAGAAACACCGTCTTATAATTGGATTTTTGGGCAGCTTCATTGTTGATTTCGTGCAGAAAGTGGTCTTTTAGTTCAGGAAGAAAGTGAGGGGAAACCAAAGAGAGAAATAATCTTCCTTCTTCGTCGCACTGCTGTATGTACTCGGAATAGACCTGTCAGTTTGTTGAAGGTTTACGGCCCTCTCCTCCATCACATTTCTGCAGTCTGGTGTCGCATTTCCTGGTGCCTCCTGTTCCTACACCATGGGATTCCCGCTAATAGGCTGTCCATCAGGTTTGCCTCCAAAGAAGGCTCAGAATGAAAGGTTGCATACATGAATGCAACACTAATAATGGAAGCTTTAGTAATGTGTTATATATTGCCTCCAAGGAAGTATGTGTTGTGTTGTGTCTAGCTTATCAGCTCAAGTCTCAAGTTCTCTCTGGCAGTGGAGTATCTATCTGTAACAAGTTACATAGCTTTCCAGTTTATTACACTTCGTGAACAATACAAAGTTTTTTATCACAGTCCTTTCCATGTTTCTTTCTAGACCCACAAAAGAACTGAACATCATTTAAGCTTCATTTAAATGTTGGAATAAGTACTTTCGAACATCCTGACTATGCTAGTCTTAACTCTAAAAGTCACAATGATACGAAGATGCTATATATGAACTTGAGCTAGAACCAAGGGGCCAGAACATCACAATCCTAGCCAAGATCAAAGAGGAAGCTGTAGCTTGGGTGAAGGCAGGAGCATATAGACTCCAAGAGTTTGGTATTCTAGGAGATATCACCTAATGCCTTTTTCCTGGGACTGTCGTCTTTTGACAATCCCTGTGCATAACCTTTGTATACTTTTATTCCTTATCTATCAATATACTAGGCAAATCTTTTGCCTTTCTTTCAAAGAAAAAAAAGGCATAACATTAAGAAAGATATTTGGTGCCAATTCATTCTTCGATGTCTCTCATCCCTAATGTAGAATGGTTGGATATATTTCAATTGCATCACAAAGAACTGTATCAAGTGAATCAACTTCTCTAAACTTCATGCTGGTATCCCTTCTCCCCATTTATAAGAAGAGAGGAGCAGCACAAATGTGCTTGGTCTGAAATAGCACAATAACCATACGAGTCATAGTTATGTTTTACTTGCCATATTAAGTCCACATGACATGTTCATTGATCCTCAATTGTACTAGAGTGTACATTGTTTGGTGATTTTTTGACAGCGTTGATGTAGAGTTTCCTGCAGGATAGAGTCCTCTGTCATGATTCATGAGCTCTTCACCTCAGCTTGGAACTCACGATGAAAGATTGTCTTCACTTTGCAGCTAGCATAGTTCGAAGTGCTTTGTGCAAGCCCCTCTACATGTGCAGTAGGCTTAGTTTCATTTCAACATAATTTTCCCTTGCGAGGATTTCAACAGAAATTTTGTTAACACATGTTTACCTCTGAACATGCCTAGAACTCCAACCTAAAATCTAGTGTTTTACATAGAATTCTCGGGCGGATTATACTTTTTTCGAATTATACTTAGTCCTGGCCTTTGGGTAGTAGAACTTTTGGCCCGTCCTCGATTTTGAAGTAGATCGTGTAGCATATTGTGTTATCTAATTTTGAATGTTCATCATGCCATTACTCACAAGTTTTTATGGGGTTTCTTTCCATGCTTTTCTAGAAATACCTTCAAGTAAGGTACACGGTTGAGGGTATCCTTAGATCAAACCATAGGGGTTAGAACATTGGCAATGAGGTTTGGTGCCACTTGCTTCTCCGATGCCTCCCATCCCTAGTGTACAACATTATAATGGTATATTCCATGTCATTGCAAAGAAGAGTGTCAAGTCAGTCATCTCTTCTTCAGCTTGTCTGAAACATCAAGGGTGGTATGCCTTCTCCTTCTCTCCATTTATAAGAAGAGAAGAGAACACAGATGTACTTGGTCTAATCTAGTGCAACAATTGTACAAGCCTTAATTATGATCATTGATCAAGTAAGGTACATGGTTGAGGGTATCCTTAGATCAAACCATAGGGGTTAGAACATTGGCAATGAGGTTTGGTGCCACTTGCTTCTCCGATGCCTCCCATCCCTAGTGTACAACAGTATAACGGTTGAGTATATTCCATGGCATTGCAAAGAAGAGTGTCAAGTCAGTTATCTCTTCTTCAGCTTGTTTGAAACATCAAGGGTGGTATGCCTTCTCCTTCTCTCCATTTATAAGAAGAGAAGAGCAACACAAATGTGCTTGGTCTGATCCAGTGCAATAATCGTACAAGCCTTAATTATGACCATTAATCACTCAATTGACACTGGAGTGTACTTTGTTTAGTGGTTTTTTTTTGATTGACTTGATGCAGAGATTGCTTCAGGACAGAGCCCTCTGTCATTTGCTCATCATACAAATTTGAAACTCATGATATAGGAAGGTGAATAGCTCATTGAGAGTGTGCTATGCTATAAAGTAAAGCTGATTGCTGAACTTGTAATAGTGTTCTTGCACAATTTGCAAAATGTTGCTATATGGAAAAACAGTTTCCGGACCAAGTGGTGTCGTACTAATTGCTATTGCAGGACAACAACTTATGCTACAGAGGAAGATGGTTAGTATGAATCATCCCTTCAGTTGCACTTAACTCCGTAGCCCGGACATACTGGTAGACCCTAGCTAAAATCTTGTCTTCTACATAGGAATTGTCGGGTAGTTTCTTATTAATTGGTACTGGTTCTTGCATAGGAGAAATTTTGGTTGCTCCTATGTTTTGATGATTCTTTGGTAGGAGAAAATTTGGTCTGTTTTCAAATTTGATGGTTTCCACTCCTCGGTTCTTCGATATCTCCCATCCGTGATGTAGAATGGTTGGATATATTTCAATGACATCACAAAGAACAGCATCAAGCCAATCAACTTCTCTGAAACTTGATGCTGGTATCCCTTCTCCCCATTTATAAGGAGAGAGGAGTAGTGCAAATGTGCTTGTTCTGAAACAGTGCAATAACAATACGTGTACGTTGTTTGGTGATTTTTTTTATACAGGGTTGATGTAGAGTTTCCTGCAGGACAGAGTTCTCTGTCATGACTCATAATTATGTTAGCATGTGTTTGACTTCTTGGTGTTTTTGCCCATCTTAGTTACAACTTGCACTTGCTTACCTTCGGACATGCCTAGACCCCAGCCTAAAATCTAGCGTTTTACACAGGAATTCTCACGTGAATTCTTTTTACTTGATCCTGGCCTTCGGGTAGTAGAACCTTTGGTCACTCCTTGATTTTGAAGTAGATTGCAGAGCATCATATGTTGGTCAAGAATTTTGAATGTTCTTCCCTCATACAAACGTCCAGTTCTTATTAGGTTTCTTTCTATGTTTTTTTTCCAGAAATACAAGAAGAATCAGCACAAGTTTGAGTAGATCTTTAGCTCAAACCATAGGGGTCAGAACGTTGACAAGGAGGTTTGGTGCCAATTCCTTCTTTGATGCCTCCCATCCCTAGTGTACATCAGTATAATGGTTGACATGTTGAGTGTATTTCCATGGCATCCCAAATTATAGTGTCAAGGATGGTATCACCTTCTCTACATTTATAAGAAGGAAGATTAACGCAAATGTGCTTGGTCTGATGCAGTGCAACAACCATACGGACTTTGCTCATTGATCCCCGAATTGATAATGGAGTGTACTTTGTTTGGTGATTTTATTTTGATCGGCTTGATGCGGAGGTTCCTGCAGGACAGAGCTATCTGTCATTAGCTCATCACACCAATATGAAACTCATGATTAGAACTTAGAAGGTATATAGCTCAATGGAACTGTGCAGCCAAATTAACTTAGTTGAAGGATAGCATCTAGCATAGTGAGAAGCGCTTGTGCAGGACCCTCTATCTGTGCATCAAGCTTTTTTTCTTCTTGACATAAATTTTGTTACCATGTGCTTACTTATTACTAGTGTTTATGTCTGTATCCATTTTGGAGAGAGAGAGAGAGAGAGAGAGAGAGAGAGAGAGAGAGAGAGAGTTAAGTTTAGATAAAAGTTAGGATTTCGAGTTTAGTCGAGATTTATGAGAGTGTTGTTCTTGCGCTTTGTAAACACAAATAGAAGCAATAAAATTCAATTTACTTTGAGAGATCTTCGATTTGTGTTTTGTTCGGGTGCGGCGGTTACACTG